CTTTTTATATCTACTCTTTCTTTCTCCCTTGAATTTGTTATTTCTAGTTACCTCCCCAGCTCCCTCTTACTCCAGTTGATCTCTTATGGATGATACTGCACACACTAGTTTCCATACCAATTATCATCCAGCCTAGCCTCAAACTAGCCATTTATCTCTTATCTTCTGTGTGTTATCAAGTCTGAAAGGGGTTTTTGGAACTGTGGCAGACACTTTACCACCTCACACTATGGTCTAGGCATTTTCCTGGTGTTGAATCATTAATAAGGAGGGGGTAGAGCAACATGTGCAGCATTTCTATGTCACCTGTCATTGGGTAGCTAAGCTGTCAATCAATACCTATCCAGATAGCAACAGAATAACAATTAAAACCATAACTAGCTGACCCAAAGCCAAGAGTGACAGAGAGAGAAAAAGAGAGAAAGAAGAGAGAGAGAGAGAGAGAGAGAGAGAGAGAGAGAGAGAGAGAGAGAGAGAGAGAGAATTGTCTCATATCTATTTTGGGGTACTAAGTAGAAAACATCTGCATGGAACCCTGAACTCTAATACGAAAGGAAAAAATAACAATTGGCATTTATTTTTTTAAACGTCACAAAGCACCTTACACATAATATAACATCTGATTAAACAACCTGAGTTAACTACTCTAAGTATTATTCCCCTTTTTCCAGATAATAATACTGAGGCTCTGAGAGATTAAGTGACTTTCCAATGGTCACAAAGGGTAGTAAATGTCAAGGATGGAATCTGACATGAGGTCTTTCTGACTCTATGTTCAGGATGCTATTCCCAAAAGAAAGAGAAAAGAAAAAAGAGAGAGGAAGGAGAACAGAGGAGCAAAGAGAAAGGCAAACTAAAAATAGTTAAGATATTGTGATAGGCCAGAGTAACTCACTTCTTCCCCCAAGCCCCCATCTCCAACCACCATACACATTAGGCTAGTTCTTTTCCTAACATCCAAGGGAGCTGACCTCACACTTGATTGGCCCAAGATGCTTAGTCAAGTCATCAAACAATTGCTGAGTGGCTACTATGTGCCAGGCACCATGATAAGCTCTGGAGATACAAAGAAAGTCAAAATCAGATCCTGCTTTCAAGGAGCTCACATTCTGATGGGGGAGACAACAAACAAACAGCTACATACAAACAAGATATATGCAGGATATATTATTGCACATAATCTCAGAGGGAAGGCATTAGCATTAAGGGGTACTAAAGAAGACTTTTCGCAGAAGATGGAATTTTAGTTAATACCTGAAGGAAGCCAGGAGGCAGAGATGAGTAAAAAGAAAGTTCCAGGCATGGGAGACAACCAGAGTAAATGCACAATCAGGACATGAACTATCTTGTGTGAGGAAGAAGCAGTGTTACTGGATCAAAGAGTATGTGGCACGGAGTAAAGGAGTAAGAAGACTGGAAAAGTGGAAAGGGTTAGGTTATAAATGGCTCTGAATGTCAGAAAGAATAGTTTGTATTTCATCTATGAGACATTAGGGAGTCACTGGAATTTATTGAGTAGATCTGAGATGATCAGATCTGCACTTTAAAAGAAAAATCACCTTGGTGACTGAATGAATTAGAATAGGGAAAGACTTGAGGCAGGAACTGCAATAGGTGATGAGAGCTTGCACTAGAATAATGGCAGTGTCACATGAGAGAAGAGGGTCTATTTTGAGAGATGTTGCAAAGGTGAAATCAGTAGCCTTGGCAACCACTTGGATATTGGGAAAGGGGTGGGGGGTGAGAGATGGTGAGGAATCTGGGATGACTTCTACATTATGAGCCTTAGGGACTAGGAGGATGGTGTTGCCGTCTACTAAAACAGGGAAGATAGGAAGGGGGAAGGATTTAGGGGAAAAGGTAATGAGTTTTGCTTTGGACATATTGAGTTTGAGGTGTCTATTGAACATCCAGTCTCAGATGCTGAAAGGCAACTGCAGATAGAAGACTGGAGGTCAGCTGAGAGCTTGGGGCACAATAGGTAGATCTGAGAATCATTAGCATAGAGATGGTAATTAAATCCATGGGAGCTGATGAGATCACCAAGTGAAGTAGCATAGAGGGAGAAGATGATCCAGGACCAAATCCTGAGGGATACCTACAGTTAGAGGGTGTGATCCGGCCCTCTTAAATCCAGCCCAGTTAGAGGAAGATCCAGCAAAGGAGATTAAGGAGAGATCAGATTGACAGGAGGAAAACCAGGAGAGAGTGATGTCCCAAAAACTTAGAAAGAAGAAAGTATCAAGGAGAGAGTGAGCAACAGTGTCAAAGGCTGCAGAGAGGTCAAGGAGAATAAGGACTGAAAAAAGGCCACTGGATTTGGCAACTAAAAGATCATAAGTCACTTTGGAGAGAACAGTTTTGGTGGAAAAGTGTTCTGTTTTCCACAAGTGAACCTCATAAGTAGCAAAATTTGGTGGAATTTGACTCATGACTGGAATATGGTAACAGAAAGATATATATTTACTCACATGGAATATATTATACAAAAAAATAGTAGTGGAAGTAAAATTGTATAAAAGAAATACTCTTTTTAGGAAATGGACTAACTAGATAGAGCACCTGAGTAAGAGACCACCAGGGGGAAAAAAAATGATACTATGGTGGGAGAATATTAAAGAAAGGGAACAAGAAGAATGATGATTTCTTTTTAATTTTTAAAAATTTTTATTCAGTATTTTATTTTTACCCAGTTACATGTAAAAACAGTTTTAACATTAATTTTTAAAACTTTAGGTTCCAAATTCTTTCCTTCCTCTCTCCTCATCCTCCTCACTGAGAAGGCAAGCAATTCGATATAGGTTATACATGTGTAGTCATACAAAACACTTCCATAATAGTCATGTTGTGAAAGACTAACTATGTTTCCCTCCACCTTATGTCTCCTCCCTCCGTTTATTCTATTTTCTCTCTCCTTTCACCTTGTCTCTCTTCAAAAGTGTTTTGCTTCTGACTATCCCCTCCCTCAATCTACCCTCCTTTCTATCACCCCTCCCCCATTCCATTATCCCCTTACCCCCTACTCTCCTTCAGGGTAAGATAGATTTCTACACCCAAATGAGTGGTATTATTCCCTCTTTGAGTCAATTCTGATGAGAATAAGGTTCAGTCACTCCTCCTCACCTCCTCCTTCTTCCCCTCCACTGTAAAAGCTTCTTTCTTGCATCTTTTCTGTGAATAATTTACCTCATTCCACTTCTCCCTTTCTCTTTCTCCCAGTATATTCCTCTCACCCCTTAATTTTATTTTTTAGATATCATTCCTTCATATTCAACTCACACCTGTGCCTTCTGTCTATACATATTCCTTCTAAATACCCTAATAATGAGAAACGTCTTATGAGTTACAAATATATATCATCTTTCCACATAGGAATGTAAATGGTTTAACTTTAATAAGTCCCTTATGATTTCTCTTTCTGCTTACCTTTTCATTCTTCTCTTGAGTCCTGTAATTGAAAGTCAAATATTCTATTTAGCTCTGGTCTTTTCTCCAGAATGCACGAAATTCCTCTATCTCATTGAATATTTATTTTTTCCCCTCATGGATTATACTAAGTTTTGCTGGGTAGGTGACTCTTGGTTGAAATCCTAGCTCCTTTGACCTATGGAATATCATATTCCAAGCTTTCCAATTCCGTAATGTAGAAGCTGCTAAATTTTGTGTTATCCTGATTGCATCTCCTCGATACTTGAATTGTTTCTTCCTGACTGCTTGCAATATTTTCTCCTTGACCCAGGAACCCTGGAATTTGATATAATATTCCTGGGAGTTTTCATTTTGGGATCTCTTTCAGGAGGTGATTGGTGGACCCTTTCAATTTCTATTTCACAAGAATGATGATTTCAAGAAACAACATCATAAACCTTATATAGAAGAATGATATAGCAGTGATCGGGAATTTCAACTATCTGAATATCTGTTGGAACTCTCCTGTTTAAAACTGCTTAGCTAATAAATTCCTCACTTGCCTCAATAATAATTTCATTCTTCAAAATATAGAATAATGCTGGTAATTGCTTCTCTGGATCAATTCTGATGAGGAGAAATGGTCACTAAAGTAGACAGGCAGAAGACTGTCAGGAGGAAGTAGCCATGCTATCACATAATACAATAGGGAGAAGACCAGATTTCAAAGAGTTCAGAGAAAAAGATAGGTAGGATGGTTTCTAGAATATGCTTCCAAGAACAGCATGTTGGATGACATGAACAAACAATAATTCTGATGAGAAAGAAGTGAGGAATTATCTGAAGAGACCGTGATAAAAGCAGCTACATTAACCAACTTCATATTTTAAAGAAATATATGATATAGTATATAGTTATATGTAATAACAATCACAACAGTTGATCTTTAAAGTAATCAAGTATGTTTTAAGGTGCTTTACATATCTTATTTTTTTACTATAGCTATTCTTTACCATGTTGCTAAAGGTACTGAGATTGAACTCTACATCAAATTTTTTAAAAATGTATAAAGTATAAATGGCACCAAGGAGAACACTTCATCAGAAATTCTGACAGCATGACTACAGCATTCAGCAACCAAAAGATATTCAATAAATGTTACTGATGTACTTCTTCAGGAGGTCCTTGAAAACTCTAGACTTTGTCAGCTAACTACAGGCCAGCAAAAAACACCAATCACAATACCTGTTACTGTATCAAGCTGCCTACAAATTCTTCAGTTTTGCTTCTAGGGTACTTCACCAGATATACTTTCATGTAAGATACACTTTATCATACAAGTCCCACTGGTATCCTCTTCTTTAAAAAAAAAAAAGGTTAGTTGGGCTTCAAAATTTTCTCCATGACATGAAAAAATTACCTTTTGCACCTTAAACATTTAAATACTCCACTTAGCTAAAACAAAACAAAAATCACACGACAGAAAATAAAGGAAAAATTGAGATCATATGCTTTACCAGATATGAAGAGTGACTGGATCTACCCAGCACATACATATTATAATAAATGGGGTTTTAAAAGTCAGTACTTACTAAATGCTGCAGTATAATCTGAGTCCTCTTGAAAGAACTGAACCTGAAACACAAAATAACATTAATAATAAACACTGTCAGAGCAGCTAGGTGGCACAATGGATAGAGCACTGGCCCTGGAGTCAGTAGGACCTGAATTCAAATCTGGCCTCAGACACATAACTCACCAGCTGTGTGACCCGGGGCAAGTCACTTAACCCCAACTGCCTTGCCAAAAAAAAAAAGATAATAATAAACACCGTTCATTAGTTTCGTCTAGTTGGTGGTTACTTTAGCCTATAAATCGCTTTTTCTTGTCTCCAACACAGAGTAAAATTCTGTGTTCTAAAACTACATCCAGCTCTTGAACAAAACCTTATAATAAAAATTCTTCTTAAAGAAATATGTTGAAAAATTACTTATGTTAATGAACCAGTCCTGGACCTGAGGACTGTATGGGAAAATGATTAACAGCTTTACTATTTGTATAATGCAGAACAGTGGAAAAAATACTGCCTCTACACTCAGAAGACTTGGGTTCAGGGGTGGAGCCAAGATGATGGACTGAAAGCAGTGACTTGCTTGAGCTCTCCCTCAAATCCCTCCAAATACTCACAAAAAATAGCTCTGAACAAATTCTAAAGCAGCAGAACCCACAAAAAGACAGAGTGAAGCAAATTTCCAGCCCAAGATAACCTGGATGATTGTTCAGAAAGGTATATTTCGCCAGGCAGGTAGAAGAGCGCAGTTCGGCGTGGGTACACAGGCCGCAGTGAACCTGGAGCAGGCCTCAGAGGACTGAATCACAGGCAGCTGTAGCGGTTTCCAGACTTCTCAACCCACAAACGCCAAAGACAACTTAGAAGGTCAGTGGAAAAGTCTGTTTCTGCGGTGAGAGAGGAGCTCGGTCTCAGCCTCAATTCCCAAGACAGCATGGCCCCTGAGGCGGTGGCTGCCTTCTGAGCTTCTGGCCCACAGACTGAGGGGGATTGCAGGGATCTCTTTCCCAGTACTGAGGCAAGAATCTCTTGCTTTGCCCTTGCTTGGATCTGGGTCACAGTTCTGGGCGGCAGTCCTGGGGCAAGGAGGAGCACTGGCGTGGTAGAACTTGTAGTGGCTATGGAGAGAAAACCCTCCTCACAGTTCCAGGACAGAAAGAAGAGCTTGTGGTCACTAACAGACCAGAGCACAGGCCAGGAAAGGAGTAAACACCTCACCCCTTATCATACCACCTTGCAGGAACTGAAAATTTACAGGTCCCTACAAGTATCTCTGAAAACAGCTGTACAAACCCCCAAAGCTTGGGACAGTACATTCTCCACATTGGAAGCAGACTCTTACCTTAACAAAGAATTTAAAACTCAAGTAACTGTCCAGGATCATGAGCAAGCAGCGCAAAAAGAGTCAGACTATATTATCTTACTTTGGTGACAATGAAGATCAAAATGTACAACCAGAAGGAAGACAACAAAGCCAAAGCTCCTACATCCAAAGCCTCCAAGAAAAATATGAATGATTCCCAGTCCTTGGAAGAGCTCAAAAGGGATTTTGAGAAGCAAGTAAGAGAAGTAGAGGAAAAACTGGGAAGAGAAATGAGAGTGATGCAAGAAAATCATGAAAAACAAGTCAACAGCTTGCTAAAGGAGACCCAAAAAAATACTGAAGAAAATAACACCTTAAAAAATAGCCTAACCAAATGGCAAAAGAGGTCCAAAAGTCCAATGGGGAGAAGACTGCCCTAAAAAGCAAAATTGGCCAAATGGAAAAGGAAGTCCAAAAGTTTACTGAAGAAAATGCTTCCTTAAAAATTAGAATAGAGCAATTGGAAGCTAGTGACTTTATGAGAAATCAAGATACTGTAAAACAAATCCAAAAGAATGAAAAAATAGAAGACAAGTGAAATATCTCAATGGAAAAACAACTGACCTTGAAAATAGATCCAGGAGAGAGAATGTAAAAATTATTGGACTATCTGAAAGCCATGATCAAAAAAAGAGCCTAGACATCATCTTTCAAGAAATTATCAAGGAAAACTGCCCTGATATTTTAGAACCAGAGGGCAAAAAAGAAATTGAAAGAATCCACCGATCTCCTCCTGAAAGAGATCCCCAAAGGAAAACTCCTTGGAATATTATAGCCAAGTTCCAGAGTTCCCAGGTCAAGGACAAACTATTACAAGCTGCCAGAAAGAAACAATTCAAGTATTGTGGAAACACAATCAGGATATAACACAAGATTTAGCAGCTTCTACATTAAAGGACCGCAGGGCATGGAATATAATATTCCGGGGGGCAAAGGAGATAGGATTACAACCAATAATCACCTACCCAGAAAAACTGAGTATAATCTTTCAGGGAAAAAATGGTCATTCAGTGAAATAGAGGACTTTCAAGCATTCTTGATGAAAAGACCAGAGCTGAATAGAAAATTTGACTTTCAAATACAAGACTCAAGTGGAACATGAAGAGGTAAACAGGAAAGAGAAATCATAAGAGACTTATTAAGGTTGAACTGTTTACATTCCTGCATGGAAAGATGATATTTATAACTCATGAGACCTTTGTCAGTATTAGGGTAGTTGGAGGAAAAAATTATATGTATGATAGATAGATAGATAGATAGATAGATAGATAGATAGATAGATAGATAGATAGATAGATAGATAGATAGATAGATAGATAGATAGATAGATACAGGACACAGGGTAAGTTGAACATTAAGGGGCCATATCTGGAGAATAAAATTAAGGTATAAGACAGGATTATACTAGGAGAAGAAAGAAAGGAGAGGTAGAATGGGGTAAATTATCTCACAAAAACAGAAAAAAAGGTCTTTACAGTGGAGGGGAAATGGGGGAAGGTAAGAGGGAATGAGTGAATCTTATTCTCATAGGATTTGGCTTAAGGAGGGAATAACATACACATTCAATTGGGTATGTAAATCTGTCTTACCCTACAGAAAAATAGGGGGAAGGGGACAAGAGAGCAGGGGGATGATGGAGAGGAGGGCAGATTGGGAAAGGGGGTAATCAGAAGCAAACACTTCTGAGGAGGGACAGGGTCAAAAGAAAGAACAGAATAAATTAGGGGGCAGGATAGGATTAAGGGAAATAGAATCAGTTTTTCACAATATGTCTACTATGGAAATGTTTTGCATAACTGCACATGTATAACCTATACTGAGTTGCTTACCTTTTCAATGAGGGTGGGTGGGGAGGGAGGAAGGGAGAAAATTTGGTTTTTTTGTTTTTTTTAATTTTATTAATTTATTTTGATTCATCAACAATCACTTCCATATGCTTTTGAGTTGAATTTTTCTCCCCCTTCCTCCCCAAGACGGCACACAATCTGATATAGGCTTTGTATTTACATTCCTATTAAACATATTTTCAAATTAGTGAAGTTGTAAGTAAAAATTAAAACCAATAGGAGGAACCATCAGAAAGATGAAACAAAACTCAACAGAAGGTAAAAATAAGTGATAGCGATTTGACTTCCATACTTCTTTCTTTGGATGTGGACAGCATTTTCCATCCTGAGGCCTCTGGACATGTCTTAGATCCTTGTAATGCTGAGAAGGGTTCAGTTTAACAATATGAGTCATTGCATCATGTGCCTGTTATTGTATACAAAGTCCTCTTGGTTCTGCTCACTTCACTCAGCATCAAACCATATAAGCCTTTTCACGTTTTTCTGAAATCAGCCTGTTCATCATTTCTTATAGCACAATAGTATTCCATTACATTCATATACCACAACTTGCTCAGCCATTCCCCAACTGATGGGTATCCTCTCCATTTCCAATTCTTTGCCACCACAAAAAGAGCTGCTATGAATACTTTTGTACATGTGGGTCCTTTTCCCATTTGTTTGATCTCTTTGGGATATAGCCCTAGAAGTGCTACTGCTGGATCAAAGGGTATGCACATTTTTGTAGCCCTTTGGGCATAGTTCCAAATTGTTCTCCAAAATGGTTGGATCATTTCACAACTCCACCAACAATGTATTAGCGTTCCAATCTTCCCACATCTTCTCCAACATTTATCATTTTCCTGTTTTATCATGTTGGCCAATCTGATAGGTGTGATGTGGTACCTCAGGGTTGTTTTGATTTGCATTTCTCTAATCAATAATGATTTACAGCATTTTTTCATATGACTATAGATGGCTTTAATTTCTTCATCTGAGAACTGTCTGTTCATATCCTTTGACCATTTATCAATTGGGAATGGCTTGTGTTCTTATAAATTTGTCTTAATTCTCTATATATTTTAGAAATGAGGCCTTTATCAGAGAGACTGGTTGTAAAAATTCTTTCCCAATTTTCTACCTTCCTTCTAATCTTAGTTGCATTGGCTTTGTTTGTGCAAAAACTTTTCAATTTAATGTAATCAAAATTATCCATTTTGCTTTTCATAATGTTCTCTATCTCCTGTTTGGTCATGAATTCTTCTGTTCTCCATAGATCTGATAGGTTAACTATTTCCTTTTCTCCCAGTTTACTTATGGTATCAGCCTTTATATCTAATTCAGGTCTATGCCTAGTTTCTGCCATACTCTTTTCCAGTTTTCCCAGCAGTTTTTTTTTCAAAGAGTGGGTTTTTATCCCAGAAGCTGGGGTCTTTGGGTTTATCAAATAATAGATTACTATAGTCATTGACTACTGTGTCTTGCATATTTAACCTATTCCACTGATCCACCTCCCTATTTCTTAGCCAGTACCAAGCAGTTTTGATGATTGCTGCTTTATAATACAATTTAAGATCTGGAATTGCTAGGCCACCTTCCCCTGCATTTCTTTTCATTAGTTCCTTTGATATTCTGGACCTTTTGTTTTTCCAGATCAGTCTTGTTATTATTTTTTCTAACTCTATAAAATAATTTTTGGTAGTTTGATTGGTATGGCACTGAATAAGTAAATTAGGTTAGGTAGAATTGTCATTTTTATTATATTGGCTCGGCCTACCCATGAGCAACTGATGTTTTTCCAATTATTTAGATCTGATTTTATTTGTGTGAAAAGTGTTTTGTAATTGTGTTCATAGAGTTCCTGGGTTTGTTTGGA